CAGAAGGGCAAATTTGGTGAGATTTGGTCCAGTGGTTTCTGAGTTTTTGAGCGCCTAACGACGCCCTTAAGATTCTTATATATATAAATAAGAGTCCATGGGGAGCATACTGGAGTCAATGGGAGTACTGACAAGTTGGAGTCCATGCATAAAACAAGAGTTTCATTCATGAAAAAGGAATCCAATTAATAAATAATAGCCAAATTGGTCAGATGCTAGTTTGGGTCACAGGGGTGTTGCCACGTGGAGCCATGGGGGCCATGGAAGAAGCCTTAGGTTCCCACATGGGGAGAGATAGGGGATTATAGGGTCATTCTGGAATAGAGCAGGAATTTAGGGGTCTTTGCCAGGAGGCAAAGACCAATTAGAATAATCAAAGAGTTCTTTTTCCCTGGCGAGACAGAGAAGCACCCAATCTCTGATTTTTCCCAATAAAAGGTCTCACCAAGTTGAAGGAAGTGCCACCGAGGTTTATTAGCGATTCAACTGAAAAGGATGCAGAGCCGCAATCATTCGCCAGCAGAGCATGAGAAATTACATCAATACAGCCATTTTTATAGGAAATACAGAGTTGCAAGGTTCAAAATTCCCCCGTCTCCCTGCCAGTCTTCGCTGTGATTGGCCGATGAGCCAACAGCTGGGAGGCGGCCCTCCCGCCTCCTGCACCTCAGGGCCAATCAGGAAGCTTCAGTGATGCGTTGGAGCCAATCAGAGAGCTTCTGTCGCCTAGCGGCGGCAGTGAATCAGGAGAGAGGAAGGCAGGATGATGAAACACAATAGAATCTATGAATGAGTTGAAAAAAGGAACTTCCAGGGGGCCTCGCAAGACTCATAGTTTCAAGCAAGACCAACCTATTGTTTCTTGATTGGAGTGGATCAACATAAACAAAGGAAAATCTGGATCTTTCCAAAACAGTGGAGCATGAGGACAACGGGGTGAAACTGGGATGAGTGTTCCTTAGTGGGTAAATAATTGAATCAATCAAAACAGAGGTGGGGGCTTTCTGAAGGCACCCTGATCTCCAAATAGAAGAATGATTAAAGTTCTGCCAAGGGGCGACCCCACCTGCTGGGCGAATCTCCGAGAGCAAGGGTGCCACCTTTGTTCTTGTCCATGCAAGAGATTTATGGATTAGGTTCTTTGTGAATGTTTTGGGGTCCGCAATTTCCTGGTGGGATTTCATCATAAGGCAAGGGAAGGAAAAAAGGTCAAGGGGAAAGCCTCAGCCACAAGGAAAATCATGAAAATATATATCACAAGTCCATAGTCCATAATGGGAAGAGTTCATAAATGTGTGTGTCCTTGGAAGGGAATGAAAAAGGTCAAGGGAAGGCCACTAGCACAAAGGAATATATATATATATAGGGTTGATGTTGCAGGAACCATATACTTATAATTCATTACAGGAAAGATCACCTGGGAAGGAATCCCACTGGAGCATTGCAACATACCCAAATACCTGGGAGTCACTCTGGACCGTGCTCTGACCTACAAGAAGCACTGCCTGAACATCAAGCAAAAAGTGGGTGCTAGAAACAATATCATACGAAAGCTGACTGGCACAACCTGGGGATCACAACCAGATACAGTGAAGACATCTGCCCTTGCGCTGTGCTATTCTGCTGCTGAGTATGCATGCCCAGTGTGGAACACATCTCACCACACTAAAACAGTGGATGTGGCTCTTAATGAGACATGCCGCATTATCACGGGGTGTCTGCGCCCTACACCACTGAAGAAATTACACTGCCTAGCCAGTATTGCACCACCTGACATCCGCTGGGAAGTAGCAGCCAATAGTGAAAGGACCAAGGCAGAGACATCTCCAGCTCATCCCCTGTTTGGGTATCAGCCAGCACGTCAACAACTTAAATCTAGAAATAGTTTTCTAAGATCTACAGAGACACTCGCCGGAACATCTCAGCAAGCGAGAGTCCAAAAGTGGCAGGCT